GCTATCGATCACTGGGCTTTTGAAAATGAGGTGAGTGAAGCGGAGAAAGATTCTATATAGTTCTCGGGTGAAGACGAGTGTAGCGGGTAAGATGAGCACTCTTCAGGATTTGCTTTTCAGCTTTTAATCGATACTCAAAAGGAACTTGAACTAATGCGTCGACAGCAAATAAATATTCAACACCATAAATTAGTTCCATTTGTGCTTGCTAACCACGTGACCTCGTACTCAGTCAATAGTCATGGGTTAATGGCGCTTGCATTTGCACACTCAGGACAAAGGAAGATAAAGAAACTGTGAAGAAAAGAAGGCATGTATAATAGCTTTAAAGAACCCGACGATATATAAAGACTGGAATCAAGGCAAAATATCAGTAAGCTGGGAAGTGAAAACTGGGATCGTTTGGTTAACACCTAAAATTTCTAGGCCATAATTTTTTTTATAACCTAAAATTTTGAAGATAAAATTTCTAACCTAAAATGTTTAAACTAAAATGGCTTCCCTAAAATTTCTAATTCAAAATTTTTATCCTAAAATTTCTAATCCAAAATTTCTAATACAAAATTTCTAACCTTAAATTTCTAACCAAAAGTTTCGAGACTAAAATTTTTAACCCAAAATTTATAACCTAAAATGTTTAAATTAAGTTGGTTTCCCTAAACTTCCTACTATAATTTCTATTCTAAAATTTCTAATCCAAAAGTTTTATCCTAAAATTTTTAATTCAAAATTTGTACCCTGGAATTTCTAACCAAAACTTTTGAGACTAAAATTTTTAGCCCAAAATTTCTAATCCAAAATTTTTATACTAAAATTTCTAACCTAAAATTTGTACCCTAGAATTTCTAACCAAAAGTTTCGAGACAAAAATTTTTAACCCAAATTTTATAACCTCAAATTTCTAATCCAAAATATCTAATCCAAAATTTCTAACCTAAAATTTGTACCCTAGAATTTCTAACCAAAAGTTTCGAGACTAAAATTTTTAACCCAAAATTTATAACCTAAAATTTGCAGACTATTTCAAACCCAACAGTGGATTAAAGTTTCGCATGAGTCCAAATTTTGATTCATCGAAAATTAGACACTTTTTAATTAATTTTAAAAATTTTTATGCTGTTATTTGTTTAACTTCATTTGTTGGCATTGTTTTTGTTGTTATTTGTATCAAATTTATATTTATTATTAATATATATTTTTATAAATCAACAATGATGACGCAGGTGTTGACTATTTTGAATCCGATTATACTGTTAGTTTATTAAATTAATCAATTAATTTGTTTAACTAATTTATTTGACTAATTAATTCGTGATTGGAACAGAAAATGGTAAATTAATTAATAATTAATTGGCTGATAATACTTTTCTTCACATCAAAATCCTAAACATTTGCCAGAAATGCCGGGCGGCGCTATTGTTTGCTTAGAAATGACTTTGGGGTGGGGAACTTAATAACGGCACTGTATAACCAGCTATATAAACAAACACCTGTTTGTAGCTACATCTGCTCATAAGGCAAAAAGCGCTAGAAACTATTCGCGATAGCAGCTAATTTAACACAGCGCCATCGGCTGGTAAGGTGAAAAAAGCGATAAAAAAGTATTTGAAAGTAGTCGAAAATACGAGCGGGTAGTTAAATTTAATTTCGTTGTAGTTTTTTCGTTCCATATTTATGTTGTAATTTTTTTTTTTTGGTTCTTGTATTTTTTTGTTTTTTTTTCTGTATTTTTTTGCAGTTTTTTTTTGTGATATTTTCAACAGTTTTTTTTTCTATTCGCTTTAAGTACTTTTAGTTTTTTTTTTTCATTTTTCTTATTTTAATTTCTTACTCATTTACTTATTTTTTTCTTTTTTTTGATTATTTATTTTCGCATCTTCTTTGGTTTTTCGTTAATTTTAGTGCCAAATTTTTACGCTTCATTCTAGCTTTTATTATTCTATTCTACTTTAAAAAAGTTTATTGTAGTATCTCCGCTGCAGACTTTCAGGTAGCAAATAATTTATTTTGATTTCTAATTTAATTTATTTTCGCTCATTTGTCTTTTATTTTATTGTTGTTTGTTTGTGTGATTTTTTTTAATTATTTAAGTTTTTATTTTTTTTTTCATTTTCGTTTCTTATTTAATTTTAATTTTTTTTTTTATTATATTTTTTATTTGTTTGTACAACTACTGACTTGCTTCACTGATTTATGCACTTGAATGGTGGAATTGTCATTTTCTCACACACCTCTTTCATACATGGATACATACAAATTTATTTACGTACGTTTGTTGGTAATTGATAATGATCGTTTTTTATACAATAATAAATACATATGTATAGTACATATATACATAAGTTATGTATGTGGCTTTTATAATAAACAATAGTCAGTCAATGGACCATGAAGTAGTGGGAGTTTATTTTAGTGCTTTTAATATACATATACATACGTACGTGTATGTATGTATTTGCGAAAATGTGTCGATCAAGTGTTGAGCATCAGGCGTAAGAGGGATTTCACACATTTTAATTACATTTAATTGAATTAAAATTTTTATTTTTAAAATATGTTAAATTATTTTAATATTATGATTTAAGGGAAACCTTATAATTAAATTTGTGCCGTTTAATAAATTTTTTTTGGAATTTCTTAACGGAAAAATTGAAATAAAATTATTTAAAATATTTATTCCTCATAAATATTATTTTTGATAAAATTTGTATATATTTATTTTATAAAGTTATTTTTTTTTGGTAATAATATTATGATTTAATGTTTTTAAAACCTTATAATTGAATTTCTGTCACTCAACAAATTTTTTTGGAATTTTTTTATGGAAAAACTGAAATTAAACTATTTAAAATAATTATTCCTTTAAAATATTATTTTTGATAAAATTTGTATATATGTATTTATGTCATAAAGTTATTTTTGTAGTAATAATATTATGATTTAGTTTTTTTAAGACGTTAAAATTAAATTTCTGTCATTTAAAAAGTTTTTTATTTTAAAAATTGAAGTAAAATTATTTAAAATTTTATTCCTCTTAAATATTACTTTTGATAAAATGTTTATATATTTATGTTATAAAATTAATTTTTAATAGTATAATATAATTATATTCTTATCGTTTTACAATATCATAGTAAATTGTTTTATTTTTCAGATTAAAATTATTATTTTTTTAAATATCTGTTATTTTTTCTTATTATTAATAATTAAAATTTATATAGATAAAATATTTTACTGAGAATATTTCTGTTTTTCTAGATATCATATCTAGATATCATATTTAATATAAGGTTTTTAAATATTATTATAATTTTATTCATATAGTTTTATACACAGTTGCCAAATCAATGAATATATTTTATTTATTATCTATTCTTAGTTATGCTTATTTTTCCATATCTTATAAATATTTATTTATTTATCTAAATTAATTTTTTATTTTAATATTTTTGAAACTAATATCTTGTATTATGGCATTTTCGAATTAAATGTTATTATTAAATATTTTTTTAAATTTATTATCTTATATTTTTATTATTTTATTAACATTATTTAAATATCTTTGCTATAATTGACTAATTTTTTTAAATATTTTTTTATTATTTTGTAGATTTTAATTTATATTTAAAAAAATATTTTTTTAATCCTTATATGTTCTTAATTAAAAGATTATTTTTTATCATTTTCAGTTTCCAGTTTTAAAAATATTTAGTTTTTCATTAGTTAATTTGTTTAATTTTCTTTATATATTTAATTTAAATTTTTAATATAATTTACTCTTTGTAAATATTATATTTGCATTATTATTAATTTTTAATAAGTAGATATATGTAAACTGAAATACTAAAATATCAGTTTCAAAATTAATTTTTTAGTCCTTATTGTTGTTCTATAGATTTAAATAACATTTCTAACAAGAATCGCTTTTAAATAGTATTAATAGAAATAAAGTTAAGCGAAATCATCAAAAATATTAAATATTTCAACATATTACTATTTAATTATCAATTTATTTTTATATATATATATATTTTGTTTAAATGCTCTTATTAATAATCTCTCTTTATAGTTAATATTATTTTAAATCCCCTAATGTTTTAAGATATTTATTTTTCAAATAGTTCATATATTTTCAATATTTTAAAATTGCAGATTTAAATTAAATCAATAAAAATATTATTTCTTGTTTTACTACTAATTGTATTAATTTTTTTTATTTTATTTTTATAAGTTTAAATTAAACTTTCAATTTTTATTTCTTGAATATGACTTTAATTAATGTTTGATTGTATTTGAGTAAAATTTAAATTTATGACTAAAATATTTTTCTTATTTAAACTTCAAAAATTATATTTATTTTATCTTATTATATAAATTATTATTAATTATTAATTTTATTAAAGATCACTTCTTTTATCGTAACCATTAAAATATAACTATTAGAATATAATATATTTTTAAAGCTATTATTATTTAAATTATTTTTGATTAATTTATAAAGAATTTTGAAAAATATTCCGTTCGGCATATTATTGCATGCATATTATTAATTTATTCTTATTATTTACAAATTTTACTATATTTTTTCATTTTATAGGTTTGAATATAACGTAATTAAAAATATTTATTTATTTAATGTATATTATAATTTTTTTAACGATTTTTTATTATTATCAATTTATATATTCATGAGGAATTATTATTTTATTACTCTTTTAAACTCTATTATTTAAAGCACGATCTTTATTTATAGCTTTCTGTTCATTATAATTTTAAAAATGTATACAAATTTTTTATTAAATTTATATATATATATTTTTTAAATTAATTTAACTAAAATTATTAATTTTCAATATACGCGCTTAAATTTAAAAATGCAAATTTTAATATTTTGTTATAGTATTTTATTGTAATAATTTCTTATAAATCGTTTCCACACTTTTCGATATTATTTTTTCTATAAAAATATTATAATATTATCCATTCATCCATTCACCCACAAAAATTATATATACGGATATTCAAAACCACTGTACACACCCGCGTCATGTATTACTTCCACGGCGGCTAACCACAATTTAACGAATATTTTGTTGTTCTATTCTCGTATCTACAGCCACTCTATAGACGAGTATAAAATCTAAACCGTTTCGTTACGCTGAGCGCGATTAACTAACTCAATTGCTGGTACAACAATTTAATTTAGTAATAATAAATAAACGCAAACAAAATACAAAATCTGCATAAATCCATATGTATGCATGTACATATGTACATATGTATGTATGAGGAATACACCAGCCCAACCATGCGGTGTTTATTTTACTTAAATGTAAAGTTACAGAGATTGACTGAATAGAGTTTAAAGTGAAACGGTTGAATTGATTGAGTAGAGATCATTAAGAGTAACTTTGTATGATTAACAATCGATAATAAGAGAGAGAGACAGAGTAAGCGCTGGCGATAGCGAGCGTAGCCATAAGCTACTCAGCTACTAAATAGCTGTTGCGGGAGTAAGTATGTATTTACATACAATATATTAATATTATGTATTTATATACAATTTATTAAATATACAAATTGTTTTTGTATTGTATTTTTGCTTTTTATCAATCACATATTTGTGCAACTGTTCTACAAGCTACGCACGTCTGCGGTTAAGGGTTAAGGCTGTTTATTATTATTAATATCTATAAAAACATGTGTATCTTAAATGCATTGTTTGTGTTTGCATTAATTAATATTACAAATTGTTATTAATTTTTTGTTGTTAAATATTATATATTTATTTTATTTTTATTTTTTTTTTTAACATTTTTTCCATTATGCATGGTAGACTTGCACGTTTCGGCATGTTTATACTCGTAAAACATTTTTTCGGCTTAAAATAAGAGTCCATCGGTGATCGCTCTTAATATCACAGTGACCCAACCAAAATATTCTATTGACGGTGGTTACATGTCATTTTTTGATGTATAGCAAAAACTCGAACCTTTACTACTTTCACTTACCATCTAAGCTCAGCACCACAACCCGACTTAGGACTATAAATACACAAATAATTCCAGTACTCAATCGAGATCGATGTTTTTGTAGACATTCTCAGTAACTGCATCTCAAAGCGGCATACTTATTTCATTTATAAATCTCGAATATCTTCCAGCCATCCGAAAGACCTTTACTAATCTTATATACCAACACTTCATCAATTGGGTTGTAAGAGTAGATTTCCTTTTAATTCTTAAACTTCCAGACAGATTTACTTGAAGAAAAACGACTTACCGTCTACGCAAACAAACACCAGCGCGGTGCTTGATTTCTGCAGGTTAGTTGTTCTGAGGGTTATGGGGAAGACAAAGCCTCCACTTCCATCGGCCTCAAAGGAATAAGAATGCTGATGTTAAAAAATCTGGCACCAGCGGAAGCAGGTTACTTTATGAATGATTGTAATCTCTCTGGTGGTACCGATAATTAAAGTGGAGCTAATAAAGGTGAATTATATCGGCATATATCTTTTTTTTCCCCAGTAGCGATGACAATTGAAGCCTTACTGCTTATGTCCTCCACACACCAGCAGCAGCTCAGTACCATATCAGCATGGCTTCCAAAAAAAGCACAGACCCACAACCGCACTTAACACCATAAACATCCAGATAGTTCAAGCCTTAACCAATACCGCCTTTGACTTCGTCAACCATTCTGTGAGAGTGTCAGTCATTGAGAGGGGGTTTAGGAACCACCTGAGTGATCAAAAGTCATGGGTAAAGCTTCGAGATCAAACTTTTAGACTCTGTAAGATTAAAAATGGAGTTCCGTAAAATGTAATTTTCACCCACTTCTGTTTTCACATATCGAAACCCGCTCCTCCCCCATGGGGTGCTTCATCGTTCTCATATGCTGATTCCTGTTCGATGTTGGCGTCTGGCTAGGATATTGATTACTTGTGTTCGAAAGTAAGCTGCTATCTTACCGACCTTTCCCTTTTCTTCTCTGTACGATACTTACAGCTGCAACCTGCGAAATCCTCGACTCCCCTTTTCTTCATTGGAGGCGATGAGGCATAAGTTGGCGTCTCCAATCAGCGCCGAACTGGGAAAAAAGAAACGATTGGCATATCATAACGAGTTGGTCATAAAAGCATAAGACGAAGAAGAAGACAAGAGTTTAGGTAGCCGAAAGTCAGCCAAAACCATCGATTTTATTTTCAACTGTATTCATATTGGAATTCTTAAGTAAGTATATTCTTCACTTGTGTTAACTACTGGTCTCGCAAGGCATTCCATAAAGTCCGCAGATGAAAAATTCTGTAGAGGAGAAAAGCAAGTCAGCCTCCCATGCAACTTTCTAAACATCAACTTCAACTTACCCTCACTGGGTGCCTCTTCCAAGAACGGCGCCCACAAACAACGATGACGCGCAGGACTGTTCTCATAGTGACCTCGACGATTAGCCACAGGCAAGGCGGTGGATCGATGCTTGCGCACACGTTTACGCATACCACGCAAGATACTGTTATACTCAGATTGTGATGCTAAATTGTTACGCTCACAAGGATCTGCAGCGACATTGTAGAGACATTCTTCCACGAGTGGATTGCAACCATGCTGGACGCCATTGCCACACTTTATTGCTGCCTCTGCACGTAAGCTCATTACCTGATCACGTGTCAATTCCACTCCAGCATATTTACGCAGCACCGCTGAGACCTTCGAGTTTCGAACGGCGGCAAAATAATCGCTGCCACGTGGATCAGTATCGTAGAGTTCACGGTAGGTGAGTAAATTATCGAAACGTCCTGCCGCGGTAGTGCCATTCACATACTTCCAATCACCTTTCTGTAAGGCAGCTACATGCCATATATCATCGAGGTAGTGAACTATTTCACGATTTACTGTGCGCGCGCTTTGATTGGTCGCACTGTGATTAGTGAGTGCGGGCCATAAGTTGATACCATCCAGACGTAGTTCTGTGCTATTGAGTGGTATATTGGCTGCGGCCGCTAAAGTGGGCAACCAGTCACCGATGTACATGGTCGGATGGAAGACTGAGCCAAGCTCACGTATTGAGGGACTCCAAATGGCGCCAGCCACACGCACGCCACCCTCCCATGGTGTGCTCTTTTGCTGTGGAGCGTAGATGGGAAATGAGTTTATTAATTTAATTTATTGTTGGCTAAGAAAATATCTCCCATACCCCTCTCAAAGGCCAATTGGAGGCTGTATTCGCGAATTGTCCAACCGAGGGACCACCGTTGTCCGATTGAAAGATCACTATCGAATTGCGTAGCATATTTGTTTTTTCCAGTGCGCGTATTACTTGTCCGACACTCTGATCCAGGCGTGAGACCATGGCTGTAGAAGAAAATAAGACGGTTGGCTCGTGATAAGTTATCATTTACTCAAATATTCTCCTCACAAATATATATTCTCGCTGTCTAAAAAGAAGGTCTGAAATCATAGAAACCTGAGGTACCCCTGCCCCTTCCTTCATCCACCACTTGAGCTCAGTAGCATCGCACCAAATACCGTGAGCGTGAACAATGCAGGCAGCTTTAGGCCAGTCAAAAGATCTCGGTATAGACAGCCATGCTTTAGGCCAGTCAAAAGATCTCGGTATAGACAGCCATGCAGTACTGCACATTGAGAACTATTTATTACTGTCGAAGTTGATTTCTTGAGTGGTCTAGAGACACCGGCAGAATTTATAGCATTCCTTGTATCTCACCATCACTTATACAGATGAACAAGCCCGAGCTCCCTCTCGAGACCGGTTCAATACTGGCACAATGAAGGCCTTTTAGGACCTTGTGCTACATTTAAATTCTACCTATCCGGTCTCGAGTCAAACTACATAACATTTGTCAACCTCTTTATCTGAATATTTTTACACGTCGAAACAGCTCTTTCGTTTCTTGGATCTCTTGACATTCCGTAGCGATGAAAAAGATGAGGGAAATGAGAACATGACTTATGATAATGAGCCCTAATGTGAAAACCTCTGTTTCACTACGCTCCCTAATACGAGAGAAATGTGAAACCATCTACCCATAATTAACGATATGGTGTTTCCTTTTAGAAACCCACGCGTTTTTTCCAAAAGTCTGAATAGTGTGGGAAAGATACGACCTTAGTCGCTATGCCCTAACTCGGCGTTGGGATTGAACCCTCAACTGAAGTCGCATGCATTCTTTACCGACCTCTACCTTCTTCGTAGCCTGTAACTTTTCCTACATGCAATTCAAAGTTCTTAAGAAGAGGCTAAAACAGATTTGCATGACCTGAGTTGCTCCGTTTGCGGCGTCACTTCTTCATATATCAAGTCCTTAACAAATAAAATCGCCATAATCGGCTTTGAGCTCGCTAAGCAGTAAAGTAATTTTCAGCTCACCGGCATATTTACGCCTATTCGGATCTTTTATATAATGGAATTTGGAAATCTCTTCGGCTGGCGCCTCTAACGGTGCATTAGCGTTGCCCGTGTGCACTGCTAAATGACTAAGTAGAAGCAGCAGGGGTTTCGTGTTGTTATTCGCGTGTATTATACGCTCGGCTTCGCGCGTCAGCAGATCCGTCATGTAGGTGCCATAATCACCACATTCAACTTCCATATTGCGGTAAAAATCATAGCCCATGGAGTAGTGTGGTACCTAGAAAGGAAGTTGAGTTAAATAACTGTTTTCTTTCATTGAAAAATAATTCCATTCACTCACCGGCATTTGACTGCGTCGATGATAGTAATCGATGAAGCCACCCCAGTAGCCATAGTGGTAGTCGAAGCCACGATAAGTGGGCGTGAATTCCCGCTTCGCAAAACCCAAATGCCATTTACCCACCAGATTAGTGGAGTAACCAGCTTTTTGAAAGATCTCCGGTAGTATTGTGTAGTTTGTGTGTAGACCCCATGGTTCCTCGTTACTAATGACAAAGTGTTGAGTGCCTGGTTGATAGAATTGTGAGTGGGAAAGAAATTTCAGATATAAAATTTGCGCCCAACCTGTATGTATGGGAAAACGTCCGGTCATGAGTGCTCCACGTGAGGGCGTACATATGGCCGGCGCGTAGAGGCGTTCCAAAATTCGGCCATGGTAGGCCAGTGCGTCAATGTTGGGTGTGAGAAATTCATTGGAGCCACGGAAGCTGACATCGTCGAAGCCCTGATAGGAAGGGAAGAAATTAGATATACAGTTGGTGCGGTGTACCTATAGAAGCCCATATCATAGCAACCAAAACCCTACATTGTGAATACTCCTTATGAGGAATGTAGAGACGTTCGCTAAATTTGTTGCCACCTCTATCAGATTTGGGCTTATGGTGGCTTCAGGAAGAAATTTCTGGTGAGAATTCTCTGGAAGAGATCTGAGAGCTTTTTTATTTTTTCTAAGGCGAATGCCTTAAAGCTTGTTATTGAGGAGAATTTTGGCCAGAACAAGTGTATTGACACAAATATCACACCCTCACTGAGGTGACTTGTTTTCAGAAAGTAGTGGATTCGAGAGAAAAATTGCCTGATAAGCATGTCCGATGGCTTTGTCTTTATTTACGCTCAAGCAGCTTTACTTTTCTGTTGGATCATTGTTTAACTTAGGTGAGACTAGAGCGACCAATTTCAGTTTTTTTGTTATTAGAGCATCAACTCAGCTCAGCACATGAACATGACACCCAACTAATCTTCTTAATTTGTCTTATGCAGTGGAAGATCCGTGGAGATCCTTGCCCGTTTAAAATCGCACCTCTCACAGTTTTTGAGGAATAACAAATATCTTGCAGTTGCAGCGTCTACCCAGCAGGCTAATGACTTCGTGAAAATTAAGATTGACGTGAACGCCTCCCAGATATGGGATGAATGGGGTAAACACAGAAGAAGGTGATGATAACTTTATGCAGAAAGAGAGAATCCGTCAGTAAGTAGTAACATTCACACCGCCGTAGATGGTGGGATCAACATCAAAGCAAAGCTATTCCATATTTCATTTAAGATTTTATAATTTACAAGCACTAGGTTTGATTGATTGGTTGAGGATCTGACCGCAAGCGGAAGCACTTGTGTTCCTAGCAAATGTATGAAAACATGCAAGCAGATTGCCACAGAGAAGAGTGCTCTGTTGGGCCGCAGGTCTTATACGTATGTAACAGAGAACGCAATGAGGAGGACGAGCAGGCTCGCGTTGTCTTTGTCACATAATTTTCAACGCCTTCAAAGCGCTGGATCTTAGGGGAATACTCAAGATCATAGAGCCCTTCCAAATTACTGCTCTCCGGAGTATATTGCTGTCGATTGGAGCACTATATTCACGAGGAGTATCCTGCCTTGAGCCTTATCGAGATGTCCATGCATAATTTGAAGAAAGCTAAACAGTTCATCATGTGTACTGTTCAGGGGAGCACAAGGAGAAACTCAGTGACTGAGTTCAGGTCTCCATTCGACTCTTTCAACCAACCAATGCGTTTATATAAATTGAATTAATTTAACCAAGGGAAAGGTTCTTTAGTGCCAGCCAAAAACGAATGACACTTGCATCGGTGTTATCTCTTTAGAAAAATTCACTAACAATTTTTTTCTAGAAGAAATAATTTTTTTACCATACAATCTTTCATTGACCACTCAATCTTGGCACAAGTTATGTCCATACACACTATGCAGGGAATCGTACTAGTTTTTAACTATAATCTAGATTAGGTTAGGCTACATTAGCCGACTGATGCGCTTTACATAGACCCATTGGTCCTTTGTGATGTCTAAATGGAACTTCGTTTTATTAAGCTTTTTATATAGCTCTTTGAAGATGTAAGATATTTAAGAGCAGTTCAAGCTTAGGCTGGAGAGAAACATAGGAGGTGTTTTCACGTCTCGCTCAGGTCTTTTTACCTGCACTTCCAGCATATGCCACTATCAATGTTCAATCTGGTTGCAGTATGCCAGTGGGCTGTGGCCCGTCGTTAGGCCAACAACTGTCCCGCAGTCTTGACATGAACTTGTAAAAAGGAAATTGGTGTATTCTTGTTAGTTATTTCACATCTTGGTGGTTTTTCTTGTTGTTAATGCCTTCCCTCTCACTTTCAATGCGCATCCGGCTATTTCGGAAATTTCACGATAAATGGTTTTTAGCGATTTTACTTTTCTCTGTACCGATGTGCCAGCAAGACGGATAGCACTTTTGGCAATCTCATCAGTTATTTCATTACACATAATACGCAGACACTAGTAACTATCTAACTTATTGGCATTTTTATACTAACTAGTTTATCTTCCATCTATTTTCCATATAAACAACAGGGGCAACACATCAGCTTTATACTAGTTAAATACTAGTTCAATGAAGCATATTAAATTTCTACTTCTTCGATACGATGTAGCGATCAACGTCATTATGCGCACTTCAACTGAGCATAACAGAGTATGGACCTAAGTGGTGATGGAAATTGTGATTATTCCCGCAATCAGCGAACTGCTGATCCAATAACCAATTGGAATAATTTCATCTTGAAAATACTGGTATTTAACTAGAGATTCTCCGTACTAGTCTACCGTTTCCCTGTAGGGTACTCCTTATATATGAAATGTAGCACACTTACCATGTCATCCGCTAATATTAAAATAATATGCGGTTTCGCTGCGTCTTGCACCACTGTACGAGTACTATCGTCAGCAGCAACTAGTAGTTGATAATTGATTAGAACTAAGCCGATCAAAGCCAAGCTGAGTAAACATTGCGAGGCGGGCGAATAAGAAAACATAATAATTTTGGTGGCTTGTGAGGTGTTTATTCTTTTCTTCAGATTTGATTATGTCAGTTTCTTAAGTAATTATACATATATATATGTATGTAAATATATGTTTGTATGTTTTTGAATTTATTTATAAATTTTCTTCACTCTTTTCCAAGTTCATTCACTTTTCACATCCACGCGTCTTCGGCACTTGATAGCCACTGATTACTCAATTACTACTGATTGTTTGTTTTGGTTGAATTTTAATATTGAGCGCCGCCTGCGGAGGCTGCGAACTGTGTCTTGAAAGCTTGGCTCTGCGAGGTGAAAGCTTTATTGTAGTGTTAGCGCTTGAATTTTGATAAGAATGCCAAGATGCCAAGATTGGTTTTGCCTGCTTTATGATTTTATTTGTTTTTTGTTCGCATTTGGCAGCTTGAGTATTCTCACAATGAGTACAATTGAGTACTTATAGTACTTATACACTCAGAAAGCTCAATTTATTAAGTTCTCAACAGCTCTCACTCTCTCTATGCGAAAAATGTTCTCTACTCGGAAATTAGTATGTACTTTAGGTTCAACATTATTTATTATTTATCGTGGCAGCGCAAAATATAAACTTTGTTTACTGGATCCAGTTAAACTTTAAAGCTTTAGGAGTCGAACTTCTAAATCAGTGAAATCGCAATACCTACGTAATGCCGGAAGAAAATCGTATCACCATTTAACAGAGCTCTGGATGTAAGAATTGCACGCAACCTTTATACTCAAGTGTAAATTAAGGTTCAATTCTGTCAGCCGCAAAGTCGAGTGGTTAGTTTTACGTAGTGCCGTTTTGAATGTCAAGTTATCGAAAATTAAGTTTTCTAACTTCGGTTGCCCTTCGGCAGGTAATGCTAACCCCACCGAGTGTATTTCTGACATGAAAATCTGAGTTCCGTTCCGAGACGAATTCGAATAACCAGTAAGGGAGAGACGATTTGTGGGAAAAAAATCTCAAGACGCATACCATAATTTGGAAATGGAGCTAGGCCGAAAATCGCTGCCACAGAGTGCCAATAATATATTATTATTCTTGAAAGTACAAACCAAATATGCTCCCTGAAACCGAGTACAAAATGAGTAGGAAGTGTAAAAGAGAAGAGCAATAGAAAAGGTCCACAGAGCAATGCGGAAGTGTACAGAAAGCGATCATATAAAAGATGTTATTTTAGCCATGTTGTTTTCAATTGCATGAGATCGTTGCGGCTGGCTCGAAAAAACTGCAGCAAAGAGGAGAAATTTTCGACCACTTTTCGCAATAAATGGAGCCGTCAGCGAATATGCTCTTCCAAGGCGGCAATGATCCGGTACTTAGACAATTAGGTAAATTCAAAAAGAGTAGTCCAATGATGTTAATTCGCACGATCTTGGAGGGCACGCCACAGACCTACGATGCTAAATAAAGTTCAATCCATCAAAAGATCGATTGTTGCGTAACCTGTATGAACCAAACCAAAGGTCGCCCATATCAACATTCTTCAATGCAGGTACGAAAAATTCATTAATCATGGCTCGGTATCGTTCCCAATTGGCAAAAAATTCATGACAGTGTTTCTTTTTGAATAAAAATATGATTCCCGTTGCCTATTGAGCACCCCAAAAAGGACTCGTTGAGTATGTAAGCTGATATGGCCAATGGCTTCTAATTTATCATCGGTTGAAAAGCAATAATATTGTTTAGCAATGTACCAATTCGAGGAAAAAGTGAACTTCACCGCTGAACAAAATTTTCTTGTGAAAATCGGGTTCGCTAGCCATCTCGTTTTGGGTCCATTCAGCTCACATGCGAAGTGCTTGAATCCTTGCGCGAGCTGGATTTTGTAGGATCGCCAACTGAGGTCTTTCTGCCTAAAAATCTTCCATAAGGTGAACGATGGTCATTCGGTCTTCGATACTCTGCCCCACAGCAGCAATATTGTCTTCGATGTGGACTGTCTGTGCATTAGCTCTTAGGGTAGAGGGGGTATAAAACCGGTTCCTGGTTGCTCGATTTACGGGCTCTACTGAACGTTTAAGCTTATCAACTATTGGACGCGAGAGCTGAATCAGATTTAGGTAGGTAATTTGCAGGATTTGCAAACGTTATTCCTGCGGCACGGACTTATCCTTATTATATAGTGAACCAAAATGAGTATAAATCAAGTATCGAAAAGAGTATGGAATTATTGAAAACCGCACGTCTAAAAAAACACCCCTAACATAATAAAATGAAACACTAAAAGTTTTTTTTTATTGCTTAATATTTTCAAAATTTTTTTCCATTTTCTTTCAAAAAGTCAGAAAAAATACGAAAAAGAAATATTACAAAAATAAAATGCCAAAACTGAAATTAGTTATTTCTTTATTAAAAAATCAGTGAAATTTTTCAATTTCAGTTGAAGACAGCCAACAGAAATTTTAGTTTCCCAAAATTCATGGCCGACACAGCACAGCTCCCAGCGCCAATGAAGGATAAAGGCCTCTGGCGTGATTTGACAGCCTATTGGATATTGGGTTTGTGCAACAATTACGGTTATGTGGTAATGTTGACAGCGGCACACGATATCATTTCACAATTAGAAAGTGAGGTTAGTTTGGTTATTGTAATAGGAAACAAGGAAAAACTTCACAAATTCTTACAACACAGGATGAAGCAAGTAAGGCAGAAGATTTCGCCGCAAATAGTACTCAAAGACGTTGCAATAAAATATCTACCAGCGCAGTACTCTTAGGCGATATAATACCGTCATTTCTGGTCAAGTTTCTAGCGCCATTTATGCCGTTTTGGGTGCAGTGAGTACGCTTATTTTGCAAAAAAAAAATGTCAAAGCAGATCTTTTTTCAGCTTACGCATGGGTTTTTCCATCGGCTTAACAGTTTTTAGCTTCATAACAGTCGCATTCGCGAGAGAGGAATGGCTAGCTTTTCTCGGCATCGTCTTCACTTCAGCGAGTTGTGGTATTGGTGAGAGTACGCTCTTGGCTTACTCTTCCAGTTTTAATAAGTGAGTGAGTATATCTAAGTTGGCTTGCTATGAGTAAAATTTGCTTTTTTTCTTCATTTGTTTACCAGAAACGTTGTCTCGACTTGGTCCTCAGGCACCGGCGGTGCTGGCATATTTGGCGCGCTTTCTTATACAGTGCTCATTGCCTTAAAGTTGACTTCACAACAAGCTATGCTAGTCTTTCTGTATGTACCCACTTTGGAGGCCTTAGCCTTTTGGTTCCTACTACGTAATCCGCAGGAGGCGATCGTACGCACGGAGGAGGCGGCAATGGTGGCACAGGATGTTTTAACAATAAAAGAAAAAGTGTCATATTTCTTTAAAGAGCTTCCACAATTCTTTTTGCCGCTCTCATTAGTCTACTTTGCGGAGTATTTTATTAATATGGGTTTGGTGAGTTAACGAAAACGAGGCGGATGCGGTGTTGTGATGCGCTCAGTATACTAATATTCTCTTTCTTTCTCTCTATCTCGCTTACTCTCTCTCTCCCTCTTTTTCTCTCTCCTTGCTACTTTTCCACATTTTTAGTATGAACTGATTTATTTTGAGCACATCTTCATCAATCCACCCACACAATATCGTTGGATCAGCACGGTCTATCAAATTGGCGTTTTCATTTCGCGTTCATCGGTTAATCTCATTCACTTCACCATCATTTGGCCGATGGCAATTTTGCAATGCATTAATCTTGTCTACTTAACATTGGAAGCGATTTTCTTTTTCACACCCAGTTTCTGGTTAATCATATTCGTTGTGCTGTGGGAAGGCTTACTGGGTGGTGGCGCTTATGTGAATACCTTCTATCATATGTCGAAGGTGGTGCCACCGGAGAGACGGCAATACGCCATTGGCATGGTTGCTCAGGCGGACTCATATGGCATCATTGCGGCGGGTTTACTTGCCATACCTGTGCATAATTTAATTTGTGATATTGATGTGCGAGAGCGAACGGGTTGGGATAGAAGAGTGGAGTTGTGAAATTGCATATTGAAAATGTGTTGAAAGAAAAAATTAAATAAAAAAATATTTGAGCTATGCACATACATCTAGGGCTTTCCTGCAACTTATGTTGGGCTTTTAGATGATTTTCGGGCATATTCTAAGCCCACTGCGAGTGGCTTATGGAGGAGGATATGACACATGACTCCTTATACCACGAAGTTCTCTGTAAGTATTAATGTACCAGGCAAACATACTGGAACTCAGATCTTATTATTGTCATATTTTATTGCCAAGCAGGTTTCATTCTCTGTCATTTCTGGGTAAGAAAACGTTTCTTTTGTTGTTAATAAGCGAACAGTACCCTAAAGGTTTTTACGTGGCCAGTTGTTGTATAATTATAAACAGCTTTCATGCGAAAATCAAAACTCATGATTGCATATTTTTAGGCTTTCTTAACTACACATAGGCAAGTACCCTGCAGGAAAAAGTTTGAGTTCAGCATTTGTTTAATTTGACTTAATTTTATAATTAATTTTGCATGCTTTGTTTCATTTATTCTATTTCATTAAATTTTTTATATATTTCATTATTTTGTTTAATCAATCTTTTTCTCTTATCTTGATTTCTTTATGTTTATAATGTTTATGTATTATATTTTAGTTTAATTGTTTTTTTATACTTTTTATTTTATTTATTATTTTATATTATATTTCATTTTTACTTTACTACTTTATTATATTTTCTTTTCTTTTGATATTTTATTTTTCATAATTTTTTTCTTCGAAGAAGTGTCGTTTGATTTTGTTATATTTTATGTTTTTTTTATATTATTTTATTTTACTTTTTTATTTTATTTGGTTTTATTTTATTTATTTCTATTTTTTTTATTGAAGTTAACTTAATTTAATTCTCTTTATTATATTTTATTTAATTTAAGGTTATTTTATTTTAATGTTTTATTCTTTTTTTAAATTGCTTTGACTATTTTATTTTATTTTTTATTTAATTTTTTTATTTTATTTTATGTCACTTCAATTTATTTTCTGTTAATTTATGTAATTTTATTTTATCTTTTTAATTGTAATTTAATATTATTTTATTTTATTAAAAGTTACTTTACTTTGTTTTGTTTAATTTAATTTGGTTTAATTTTACTTAATTTTGTTTTATTTGGTTTTATATTATTTAGTGTGATTTAATTTCATTTATTTAAGTTAATTTAATTTTATTTTTTTTTTTCCGTTATATTATTTTATTTTATTCAAGCATGTTTTCGATTATTTTGTTTAAAATGATTAATTAATTTTCTTTGAATTTGTTTGGCTGTTTAAATATATATAACTTTTTTATTTTATCCCATTTCATGTTTTTACTTTCTTTTAATTTATTTCATTTTATTTTATTAAATTTAATTGAAAATAATTGAATTTTATTTTGCTTTATTTAATTGTTATATTTTTCTATTTTGTTTTATTTTATTTGTGTTTATTTTATTTAGTTTTATATTATTTTAGTTTATTTATTAAAGTTAATATAATTTAATTTTATTTTCATTTATTTTATTAAATTTTATTTTTTGAGCTTATTTAGTTTCTTTTATTTTTATTTCAAATTGTTATGTCTTTTTTATTTTATTATAATTTTTATTTTATTTTATTCTAATTTATTTATTAACTTTTATGCTATTTTATTTGATTTATTACAATATTATTTTAGTTTATTTTAATTTTGTCTTCTAACATTTTTTATTTTTTTAATTTATGCAATTTAAATTACTCTTTTATTTCACTTCTTTTTAATTTATTTTATTCTATTTAATTTAGTTTAAATTATTTTTTTTATATTTTTCAATATGTTATTTATATTTATTTAATTTTATTTTTCTTATTTTTTTACATTATTTTTTTAATAAACTTTTATTTCAGCTATCCTTTGAGTGTTTCGAGTAAATGAAAAATCAAAACTTTGTATGAATACAATATTTCTTTTTAATTTAATAATTCATTTAATTTGCTTTATCGTTTTCTTAAATACGTCTTAAAAGAATTTAATAAAACTTTTTCAGAGCTTTTTTCAAGCAGCTTTACATTACTTGTACAATTCCTGCAGTTAACAATTTCTTGATATTTTTTTTATCAATTCCCTGAATTACTCACATTTGTCTTTATTGGCCATTTAGTCAAAAAAATATATATTATTTAATATTTTTTCTGTACAGACAGGTATAAACAGGCTTTTTAAGAAGCTTTTAGGTCCTACATGCTATTCACTATTCACTAAAAACTACTTAATACAACAATACGACGGGTTTCATTTGCTCGACCCCTCTTAGTTAACTTAACTTTGACTTAGACTACACTCAGTGAAACCACCCTCAATGCCCCATTGGTGTCGCTCCTCTCACCACACCACTTTCCGATACGCCGGCGGTAGCGCGCACATAGCATTATGCAGAGGAATGGCCAAGAAACCGGCCAAAGCTATGCCATAAGCATCCGATTGTGTGACCATCGCCATAGCGAAACGTCGTCGACCAGGCGTAATCTCTTTAGACATGCGATAGAAGGTGTTCACATAGGCACCACCGCCCAGCAGACCCTCCCAAAGCACAATGACCAATGTGATCCAAATATTTGGCGTATAGAAGAAGATGACCTCGGTAAGAAAGTAAGCGACGTTGATGAATTGAAAGACAGCCATAAGCCAGATTTTGTTGATTTTATAGAGATTGACTGATGAGCGTGATATGAAGACACCAATTTGATAGTCCACATTGAACCAGCGATACTGTGAGGCTTGCGAAAGCGAGCTATTCTCGAAGTAGACCAACTCGAACTATGGAAGGGAGATAGAGAGAGAGAGAAATGTAAAGTAAGTACATAGGCTTTAACTGTTAGTAATACGTGAATATTTTCAACCTACCAAACCCTGATTGATGAGGTACTCAAAGAAGTACACCAAAGCCAGCGGCAACATGTAGGGTAGCAAAGTTTTAATGTAGACCAACTTCTCTTTAAACCCTGTCAAAGGTTTCTCATCAGTGACCAGTTCTTCTGTCGATTCCAATGCTGAAGTGGTGAGTGGTATAATGGTGGGTTTACGTAACAGTATCCAGAAAGAGACTGCCTCCAAAGCCGGAAAGAATAACATGATCAACATGGTATCACGTGGACTGACTTTGAGTGCGCGGAGAGAGGCATAGGAGAGCGAACCAATTACACCGGCGCCACCAGTACCAGATGACCATGTAGAGACGACATTCCTAAAGGGAGTGGAGAATAAAATAAGTGCAATGGGATAAAATTTATATACGTCGATTCGATGTATGCAAGTGTGAGTTCAACAATTCGTCTAATGAACGTAATTCATTAACAGACTTTTAAAAATACTTTCTTTTGTTTAATAGTCAAATAATTTAAATGTGAAATATGAAAAAAAATATTCGTCCAATCGTCGAATTTCAAAATTTATACTCAAATGATTGATTTTGATACATAAAATACTAATTAATCATGCTTTTTTACTTTAGTTGAGCTCCATTAAGATTAAGATTTATTGAAAAATACGACCGAATTTCAGGGAATCATGAAATACGTAGATTGGATGAAAACCAGATTTTGGAAATTTAAATTTGTGAAATGCACCTTTACGCAAAATACCTTTTTTTGATGAAAAATTCAATGAATATAATATTCGTCTAATCGATGAAACTTAGTAACTCAACTAAAATTGAGTACTATACTACAACGAAGTCCTTAATACTTTTCTAATCTTCAAAAAATTATCATTGAGGGTATACTCTGTTCATCCTTTGGAAGAACTATATAATAATTTATTAGAATAAATCAAGTTTAATTATGATCTAAGTAGAGATATTAAGTATGGTTCCAAGCTCTAAGGGAAACAAGAAATACATCGGATAGACTAACTGAAAATATTGCTTTTTAGAGCGTGATAAGTAGAAGAATCTCGTGTTCATGCTATGGAAGAACTAATTAAGTTTTATTATTTTTCAATTTTTTTTGAAGCAATTAAGCTCCTGATAAACTTCTTAAAGGTTTTTGCTAAATTTCTAGAAAGTTAAAATATACATCGATTGGATGAACACCAGTTACTGTTATTTTTTACTTTTATGTAGTAATTTTTCCTGAGCTTTTGCAAAATTTGAAAATTGCATACGTCGAGGCGACGAAATTGGTACATCGAAACGATGAACATTCTTCATATAATTTTTCTTAGCAATACTCACTTATTGAAATGCGATGAGTATGATAGAAATGTCGGTTCACCAATACCGCTACTCGCTGAAGTGATCACCACGCCCAACAGTGCCATCCACTCGGCATTCGCGAAGCCTACCAACAGAAAACCGGATGCGGACAATATAACAGCGAGCAATATCTTGAAACTATAAAGGAAAAAAAAGGAAAGTTTCCATTTTAATACTAAATTTTTTTTCTTTCACTCATTCACACCACTCACTTCACCCAAAACGGCAGGAAGGGTATAATGATTTTCACAAACAACGATGGTATAATATCTGCCAGCAGAATCGCACCAGTTGAGACCAAATGGCATTTACGCGTATCCTCACCCTCATTCTCCACCGTCGTCGTATCATCCGTCGTTTCATCCTGAAATTGTGCAATAATATCGTGTGCTGCACTCAACATCACCACATAACCGTAATTATTGCAAAGACCGAGTATCCAATAGGCTGTAAGATCGCGCCATAATTTACGATCTTTCGGTGGTGGGTGAGGTGTGATGGGCGAGGCAACAATAACCTCTTGATTGCCGGACATTTTTGAAGGCGTCTGTTAGGTGCTGGTGCTGGAAAGAGAAGAGTAGAAGTGATGAGAAAATTTACGTAAAGTGATTATTCTTTTAGAGTAATTATAAAATAAGGTATATTAATCAATGTTCTTCTAGGTTAAAAAAAAAAATGTTCTAAATTTCTCATAACCGGTTTTCATACAAGTCACGTGCGTGCTGACATTGTCTCTTTGAATTTTAAATAGTATTATTTAATTTATTATTTTTCGCTTTATATTTTGTGATTGAAAAGCTAATATGAGGAGCACATCACGTTGCCTTGCGGTGGGTCGTGGCCTGTTGATTTATTTATTTATTTCGAGATATTTTAGCGGGAATTTCCATAACAATCATTTAATAATAAACAAGTGGTCAGAGGATATATTTAAATTGAATGACATTTATTGATATAAAACTAAATAAAATAAATTGAATTTAAACTAAATTAAAAAATTCAAATTAAAATAAATAAATTAAAATTAAAATATAATAAAAAATAGATAAAATAAAATGAATTATAAAATAAAATAAAATAAATTTAAAGAAAGCAAAAGAAATTACAATAAATTGAATCAAAATAAATAAACCAAAATAAAAAAATTAAAAATTAAAAATAAAAAAATTAAAAATTAAAAATAAAAAAAATAAAAATTAAAAATAAATTATAAATATAAAATTAAGAGAAATGAAATAAAGCGCAGTAAAATTCATTAAAATAGAAATATTGAAATGTAATCATATTAAATAGAATAAAATTAATTATAACCAATTTAACCTAAATTAAGTAAATACAAAAAATAACATAAAATAAAATAATATTAATAAATAAATTAATATTAAAAGAAATTAAAAGAATTATAAAAATAAAGTAAATTAAAAAAAAAATAGTTAAACATTTATTAGACAATAACAAAAAATAGAAATAAAAAAAATTAATTAATCCAAAAAGTAAAATAAAATGGATGCGTTTTCAGGTCATTAGTTTAGTTTAGTTTTATGGAGTTGTCTGAGGCCATTTGTTTTTGGGAAACAGTGAAAAAATTACAACAACAGTTTTGGACGATAGAAGTTATTCTTAAAACTGCTTTTTTCATACACCCTTTTTCGAATTGGATCCGAACTTGGCATGCATACAGCACGAGCTAATGGTTATCCCATTAAGCCACGTGTGTGCCGCTTCAACTGTTGTTGTAAAAATTTTCACTAGCCCAAAATTAAATGCACAGCTCCATAAAAAAAACCTTTAAAAAAAAATAAAACTAAGCCAAATGAATAAAAATAAAGCAAAATTATATACCATTATTTTAAATTGAATGAAATAAAATGAAAAAAAAAAATAAGAAAAAAAAGTAAATAATTTAATTCATTTCAAAATAGTGTAATTAAGAAAAAATTCTAGGTAGTATGAAAGAAAAATTAAATTGAAATGGAAAAAAAAATTTGAAAAAATTAAGTAAAATTAAATACAATTTCTTAAGTAACTTGGAGCTATATAAAATTAAATAAAATAAAAATAAATAAATAAACACAAATTTAAATCAAAATAAATTTAATTTAATTCAACTAAATATAATGTAGCAAATTTCAGTTAATTTAAAACTTGTTGCTAAACTTATTGAATTTATTTATTTTTTTGCAAAAAATGCAAAATTTTGCATGTTTTTCGTGATTATTAATTATTAGAATTGAAAAAACTAATTAATACCGAAAAAGAACTTGCTAAAAATATTACTAACCGACGAATGAGGAAAGTAAAAACCAATAAAAGCAGAAAATAGCACAGTAATTATGAATTCAATTCAGTTCGGTGTTTTTGAACTTACAACAGGTGACGCTTGATTTGCCTTCACCGACTAACTGGCAACGAGCTGATTGAACTTGAATTTATGGCAAAAAATTATTTAAATTTAAATTCACATGAAATTACTTTAGCATGTATGCATGTGGATGCATACATATGTACATATGTACATATAAATATGTTTATAAATATTTGGGTAGTAAATAGCAACGAATGTGAAGCCAAAGCAACATTAAAACAAAAATGCCAAGCCAAAGCAAGCGCTAAGCTTTGAAAAGTTAGTCTCAAAAAACAGTTAATTAATAAAAAAAAAAGTAAGCTTTGTAGGCATTTCGCTCAATAAAGTAGAAATTTAGAGAAAAAATGCTTATCGTAAAAATGAATTGCAAATTTCAACATTTTTACACCGCTAGGCGGATATGTCTATGCCTAAGGGCACCTTCTGTGTTAGTAAGAAACTTGCAAATTTTATTAGAATTTTAGATGTATTTTCATTCTGAGTTGAGAAAAATGGCATTAAATGCGAAGAAAAAGCTAGAAATGATGTAATTACCGAGAGAAATGCTGGAGGTATAGGAAAAAGATGGAAATATTGTATAAAAGTATTAACAAAAATTTGAAATATACAAATTGAGAAATTTAAAGACTAAAGCAATTTGCAACCGCTAACATTTTTATAGAAAACATTTGTTTTTTAATATTTTTTTCAGACATTTCTCCTACGCACTGCTGAAAGATACACACACATTCATATATATAACGGTGTAAGCGTTTTTAAGTACATCATTTACACATTGCACGTGTACGGAAGTCTCAATTATCTATTACTTATTACAATTTATATACTTGAAAAAAAAAAAAAAATTCAGCGCATAAAAATTTCGTTGTTGTAAAGGTCGCCATGACCAAAGAAAGCGCCACGTAATTTGTATGCATATAAATACATATTTATTTGTTATTACCTGCAAATACGTTTTATGCTTATCATACAACCTTCTCGTGTTATTAAACCGCAAGCTAAGTCACTACACTGTCATTTCAGTAAATAAACAATAAAAAGCTACCGCCAGAGTGTTGTTGTTTTCATTTATCATTAGTATGAAAATAAAAATTTTTACGGTTTTCTTATAAAATATTGTGCAGAGCTGTAGTTGAACGTAAATAAATTATTATGAAATTATAATTTCAAGTAAAAAGTAGCATGAGATATTACAGTATTTTTGTACAAATATTTACTGTAATGGTTGGGGGTGCGATAAAAATAATACTACTAGATATTATTTAATTAGTATATACTGCCTACGACAGTTTTAACTAACCATTTCTAAAAAAGTTATGAAATTATTCAAAATGCTCTTATTTACTCCTAAAAAAATTACTACAAAGGAATTTCTTCACTATTACCAAAAAAAAAAAAATATTGTCTGAAACAGTTCCATAAATATACCCCAAAAACAATGCAACTGACCTGAAAAAACATCGCAGATAAATATTAAATTTACACTCGACTAATAATGATTTAAGTTGAATAGTTTTTAATTATTTTAATTTCTTCAACTTCTATAAAACTTTTCCCCTTACCTGCGCAATAATTTTTGTAAGACTAATTTATTCAAGAAAGGTCTAATCGCTAGTTTAATATGTTTCAACACCAATTAATTAATAAAATGGGCTTGGCGGCTCTTATCAGCTTTCTTATATACTTTTTTCCTGTTTAATAATTTAAAAAAAAACAACAACATACTATCTAAAATATTTTTAAATATGCCTAAAAATCACTTAAGCGCATAAATTTGCAAAAAAAATTGAACTAATTTATTAACAGCATAATTGCGCCAATTTAGGGTGAACATACCTTTGAAAATAGAATTTTTAAGTTACTTTAACTTAGTATATGAATTTTATCTTTATAACGTATCAATAAAATAATGTTAAATAATGTCAAAATTACCCGAAAATACATTCCAACAAAAATAAAGAAAAAAATATCTACATAAAGTTCCACTTTGATATGAAACTCACTTAATTTCTATTTACTCGTAATTTTTCTTTAATTTGTACATACAAAAACTAAACTTAAATTAATTTTACTTAATTTTTATTTAATTTATCTTATTTTTTAATTTGTGTTAGCAAATAATTTGATTTCCTGTTAAACATTTTTTATTTTATTATATTTTTATTTAATTATAGTTGATATAATTTGATTTAAATTAATTTAATTAAATTTGATTTAAATTAATTTAATATAATTTTTTTTCTTTTTACCTTTATTATTATTTTTATTTTTGTTTTTGTTTTTATTTTATTTTACTTTATCATATCATTTTATTTTTTATTTCATTTTATTTTATTTCTTAATTACGTATTTCTAATTTATTTTATTTTTATTTTTTTTTTTGTTAAATGTTTTTTATTTTATTATATTTTTCATTTAGTTCAAATTATTTTAATTTAATTTTCTTTTCATTTTTATTTTATTTTACTTTATTTTATGTCATTTTACTTTTTTATTTAATTTAATTTTATTTATTTTTTTCATTTTATCTTATTTTTTAATTAATTATTTCAAATTTATTTTATATAATAATTTTATGTTTTTTCTTAAATATTATTTATTTTTTTATATTTATATATAATTGTATTTAATTTAATTTAATTTAATTGTCTTTCCTTTTTATTTTTATTTTATTTTACTTTATTGTATATCAATTTATTTTTTTTATTTCATTTTATTTTATTTAACTTTCATTTTTTAATTAACTATTTCTAATTTATTTTATATAATTTTTTTTGTTAAATATTTATTATTTTATTATAATTTTATTTAATTAAATTAGATTTCATTTAATTCAAATTATTTTAATTTAATTTTCTTTTCATTTTATTTTTATTTTATTTTACTTTACTTTATGTCATTTTACTTTTTTATTTAATTTTGTTTTATTTGTTTCATTTTATTTTATTTTTTAATTAATTATTTCTAATTTGATATATATAATAATTTTTTTTTGTTAAATATTTTTTTATTTATTATATATATATTTATTTAATTTTTATAAATTCTTTTTTTTATTTTATTTTACTTTATTATATATCATTTTACTTTTTTATTTCATTTTATTTTAATATATTTTCATTATTCATTATATTTTATATATTTTTGAATTTAGTTAGAGTTGAATTGATTTAGTTTAGTTTTCATTGTAATTCAGTTAACTTTATTTGATCATATGTATACATTTTTCACATTTAAGTCAATTTTATTTGATTTTAATTAAATCAAATTTATTTTATTTATTATTTATTGAATAAAACTATATAACTTTATTTTCATTTAATTTGATTTAATCTTAATTTATTACTTGTAATATTTTTTTACTGTATTTCATTTTATGTCATTTAATTTTTATTTAATTTAATTTAATCAATTAAAATTTTAAAATTTAATTCCTATTTTTATTTATTTTTATTTAATTAATTTCTATTTGATTTTATATAGCTCAATTATATTTTTTTAATTGGTCTTTAGATTTAATTTTTGTATTAATTTTATTTAATATAGTTTTAATTTATCTAGTTTGTTTTATTATATTTTTATTCAATTTGATTTAATTCAATTAAATTTATTTACTTTATTTTGTTTTATTTTATTTTGTCTTGTCTTATTTTATTTTTATTTAATTTAATTTAACTTATTTTATTTTCTTTCCTTTTATAGATATTTTTGTTTGGTTCAAAATGTTTTTAAATAAATACAAATTTTTATACTTTTTTCATACTTTTATTATTGCTTAATTTTATTATTTTATTTTCATATATTGGATTATATTGCATTTTATTTTGTGTAATTTTATATTAATGCAAATTAATTTAAGTTTATTTAATTTATGTATTTGAATTTATTTTATTTAACTTGATTAATATATAAAAATTTAGTTGAGTTGATTTTAAAGATATTATTCTACCAAAATAAATTTGTTGATAAGTGTAAAATGCTAAATGTGATTTTTACTTTGCCAAGTTTTTTCCCAATATCTTTCTGAGGCAATAAAGCAATACAGCTGAAAGCTATAAAAATTAGTTGAAAATTGTTTTTGTGTTGTGTGTGACAAATTAACGAAACTTACCGAGTGATTAAAAAATATTATGTCAACTGTTTTTAGTAAAATTTTCGAACGTTAGAACTCGAAGCTAACTAACGTAGTTTTGTTTTTTTTTTCGTAAACCTAGGTACATATATATACACGTATATTTGTTATTGGTTGTACCTGTTGACTGCTTATTTCTCTAATTACTGAAATAAATTTCTCGTTGCCAATAGCTTAATTTCCTCATCATTTACATTGCTTGTAAAAAATTAAAAAAAATGGTTCCCGAACTTTGTACTGTTTTGGGTTTCTTACCAAAAAAAAAAGATTCTTCTAATCACACTTTACATTTATATATTTAAAATTCGGCTGCTTACCTTTTGGCATGAAAAGCTATTGTTATTGCCTGATATTTGTTTAAAAATAAATGCAAAAAGGTTTAAGGAGAGACACTTATGAATGAGCGAACAAAATAAAATTTTGAAAATCACATGCCAATTCGAGTAGCTTATATATATATTGGAATATTTTGAAAGCCATTTCTTATTTTGAAATACTGTTAGATCTACGTTTACTATACTTTCCACTACAAAAAAAATTAGGGCTCTAGGTGTGGCGGACTCATTAGACGTGTTGCCAGCTTTGCGTATTGCCATTCGGAAGGTTCGCGTTCAAATCCTGTTACCACCAACATCCAAATGTTTGAGAGAAGTAATTGGCAGAGGATGTTAACCTGTTTTTGATGACTTAGTGGTTTCGAAGGACAGGCGCGGGTCTTTATCCGATCACAAACCGCATCCAAGCCAGTATTGACGGTCAGAAAGGTTTTATTGTGTGTTTGGTGCTCCCCTATGGCCAAACTCTTAACTCTTACCTCAACTGTCAGCAATTGTACCGTCTAAAGGAAGCACTCGCCCAGAAGCATCCAGCTTTGGCCATTAAGAGGAGATTTTTGTTTCATCAAGAGATGCAACGACGACAAACATCGATATTGACTAGCCAGAAGCTCTAAAGAGATTGACTGAGAGGTTCTTAGGCATCCTCCTCATAGTCCAAATATCGCAATAAATGATTACCAACTGTTCCTGTCCATGGTGTATAATTTCACGGGTGAAGGATTGGACTTAAGAGAAGCCTGTGAAAACCGATTTGTCACAATTTTTTGCCAACGGTGTCTTTCAAGTAGGTTGGCATAACCCGCTAAATGGCAAAAGGTTATCGTGCAAAAACGTGCAAAATTAACATATCTCGGATAATTCTGACTACGGTAAATAAAGCTTCAACTGAATGCGAAAACAATGGATTACTTTTTACTATATTACATTGTTTAATTAAATTTAATAACTTCTTGGTTAAACATTTTTCGAATTTATCAAGTTTCTTAATTTAAAATTACTTTTATATTTATTATTATATTTTGGCATATTTAATTTAAAATTATTTTTGTATCTATTATTTTTTGGCATTTTTTTTTTATTTATTTTTTTTCAAATTATTTCGTATTAAATTAGTTCATTACCTGACCTCTATAATTTTGAAATTATTATTTTTTTTTCAATTTTTAATATTAAATAACTTTATTACTTATTATTGTCTTAACTTTTTCATAATTTCATTTTTTTTGCTTTTTTATTATCTACTTAATTATTTTATTATATATAAATTTTTTTATTTTATTTTTATATATTTTTTTAATATTTAATATTAATTATTAATCAGAACTCACAATTTCGAAAATTAATAATAAAAGAGCTTTTATTCTAATATTAATTTTATTCCACATTTTTTCTAAACTTTGAAAATATACTTTTTGTAATTAAAAACCCAGTTGTACTTACCAAAAGCTATGAACTCAATGCTTAGCCTCTTTTTGAGCACTAAATTGTATAATATAATTATTTTGATTATTACTGAATATTACTAAATTATTTGCGAAAAAAATTAGTTTTGGAGACACTTATTTTGTTATTTTATTTCAAGATTTTTTTTAAAAAATATTGCTTTAATTTTTTATTTTTTTTTTCTATTTTATTTATTTTTCCTTTAGTATTTTGTTCCTAAAATATTACTTCAACTAAAATTCGATTTTTTACCACCCGCTCTGTTGCTTTGATACTTTAAGTTCTTTATTTTTAATTTCCTACACCAAATCGCACGTAACCGAAATCGCCTAAATTTGTAACCGAGTGTCACTCGTTTCAGAACCTCAACAGAATTTTATTGACTTTGCGTCTTGCACGAGCTGCTTGCCGACAACAACTGAGCACAAAGCCGAAAAACGCGCATCGAAATCGCATCGCAATCAATGAGCGAGTGATTGAAAGTTACAAAATAGCAATAACAACAACATAGCAAAGTAATATAAAGCAAGCAACAAGAATTTTAAAAACAATAAAAAGTCAAGTGCGCAAAGTGTGGCTGCAGTTCGATCTCTAAATGAGCGATAAAACACTAGAAATTGAGGTAAATAAAAAAATAAAATATAAAAAAATTAAAAAAAAATTTAAAAAGTTTTTACGTCACTATTATTTATGTATATAATTGGCACTCTTTAACAGGTCGGTAAGTTCTACGAACAGCGTTGTTAATGATCGAGCTCCGAATGATCGTATTAGCTGGGCCTTTTTTTTGTTACACATGATTTGACCGACAATTTTCACCTGCATTACTATCGGTAATCATTAGATCAGCGACTAAAATTTGACGTTTAAATAAAGAAATCGTTTTTAAGAAAGTTCAGGAGGAGTGCCAGAGCTTTTAGGGCTGGAGCATATTCCTGTAGCAGCCAATGAAGTGATTTGGTGCCCAGAGTATACTAAATTTATGAAGGAATACTTTTCGAACCTGCTGAGCTGCGTAGTGGAATTAGGTGGCCAGCCCGAGAACCCGAAATTTGACGACAGAACTGAAGTTTCATCTACAAACTATGAAGTGTGAATATTAATTACCCGACAACAAAACCAGGAAAGCAGATGGTCTACTTAGCTGAGCTATTTAAAAATTGTTTGTGCGAAGAACTGATAAGGTGCATTTCCATGGAGTTTATAAGGTCCGTAAGTACTGTGTGAGCACAGATTAAACCCCACCGTCAATGAAGTGTGACTTCAGATCTGACAGATATTCATTACACTCAAAATACTGCTAAGACAAGAATCAGCACACCTCATCCCTTCGTCGATTTTAGAGCGGGCTTTGATTGCCTTAAAAGGAGCTGTCTCTGTGCCGCTATGTCCAAATTTTATAACCCCACGTTTATATTATTGTGTATATTGGCTCTTAATAACATCAAAAGCACCATCACGTTCAGGAAGAGCCTCACCGAACAGTTCATTAATAAACATGGTTTCGGGAATGGTTATTCTTATGGTGTGATATATTAAGGTAATAATATGGACTGCAGGGCTCAACAGTGGAGACAAAAACTTCCAAAAGAGATTACATCAGGTGTCTGTATTCTTCTTTTTCGCTTGTTTTTTTACGCGATTATATCCTTAAGCCAATTCGCAATACCAAGTACTGTCAGGTTCTTCTCTATCTGCTATTTCCAACAGAGTAGAGGTCTTCCCCTTCCTCTGCTTGCCCCAGCGGGTACTGCATCGGAAAGTTTCAAAGCTGAAGTGTTATTATCCACCCGGACTACATAACCTGGTAAGTGAGACCACTACTTCTTGTTTCGCTGTTGCTCCCTAAGCCCAGAGAACCATAAATCTTAAGCAAAACTTTTTTCGAATATTTTTTAGGGCAAGTCATCGACAGCAGCATATAGCAGGACGGGAATGATGAGGGTCTTGTAGGGCTTGGCTTGCTTTGTTCGTCGAGAGACGACTTTGCTCTCTCTCTGCATTTTTCTAAACTCTTATTCTTGTCGGTAATCTTTGGGCGATTCAGAAGGCCAGGGTTTGAATTATGGTCGCCTCTCGGCAGAGCATGTCAACCCCTCAGAGTATATTTCTGACATGGAAAACAAAAGCTCTTCATAAAAAAGTCATCAGCTGTTCGGAAGCGGCTTAGTATAAGCTGTAGATCCCGCCATTTGTTGGAGAGACATCAAAAGGCATACCACAAATTGAAGGGAAAGCTCGGCCGAAAATCACTTCAGCGTTTACAAAGCGCCAATTATATATAAGCGTGTAAATAATCTTTGGGCGGATATAACTAAGAAATCTTTTTGGAAACCAGTTGCCTTTGACTTGAAAAAAGTGTTCCAACAACCGATAATCATTCGACATTCAGTCGATCCTTATTTTGAATCTCTCTCCCTCTCTCTTTCTCTCTCTCTCTCTCGCTTTCTTTGTTAGTATATAATTTTTTGCGTCCGGCGTTTCATTAGCTTACACTGGTCTGGTCTGGTCTGCCGAATTCATTTTAATCACCGCACACTTTTTGCTGTTCTTGCGGTGTCATTACGTCGATATGTATTGTTGAAAACCAACAACGCTGATTGGTCACTTCGCAAACATTTTTGGGGGCCAATTTTCTGGTTTTAAGATAAATAATAAGAAATGCACAAAGCAAAACAAAACAATAAAAAGAAATTTGAAAAAAAGTAGTCGATTGATAAAAACGCATCCATGAAATCGATTAACCGCACGTGCAGTTCGTTTGACTTTGAAACTGGTTTGTAGGTTTCTTTATGCGCTCTCTTCTCGACTTTGAAGGTACGGGCACTGGTGTTGTTGGTTTGAATGAGACTTTCGAACATTTCTTCTTCTTCTTCTTCTGCGTACTCTTTTCCAGTTGAAATTTTTCTACACTAATTTGGGCTGCATTTATTCGGAGTACTTTGGTTTTTTTTTTGCTTTATTTTATTTTTATCTCTTTATTTATCAAGAAATTCTCTCTTTCTTTATGTCTGAAAAGAAGTACTCGTTTAAACATTTCTCCAAAGAAATATCAGTTTTTATGCTTCATGTAATGGTGGATGATAATTTTTGGCGATGTTGAAGCCTAATTGATGCATTCTGGTCATTGAACCCACCAAAAAAAAAAAAAATTTTTAATATGTATGAAAGACTTCCTCAACTTGACTAGTTTTGAGACTGTATGAGATTTTGTGGGGTTTTTTGAATGGTGAATTATACAAATAGGGAGCCAGTCCTTCAAGAACATTGTTAAAGAGAACAAATTCTTCTCATCTTAAGGAAAGATATTGAAAAAGATATGCCAGCCAACGGTTCGATACAAGTTTGGTAATGTTTGGTATAAATTCTTCAAATCCAACGAAAAAAAAAGATGATTTGAATGACAAGTCCAATTAGCCCACAGATATCTGTAGAAAAACGCCGCAAACCCTCATAACCCCGAAACGCTCCAATATAAAAGCTCTGGAATGCTAAGACCGAAAAAAGAATTTAATACTTGATCAAATGTCAAACCCGTGCTCACTGACTTCTTCGAATATCAAAGCGTAGTGTCCAAGGAGTTGCTAAAATAGATTTTTAAAATATGAAATAAAACGCAGCTCCTAAAAATTCGTCAGTCGCTCGTAGGTGTCGTAAGATAAACTAGAGGAATTTATTAGTAATTGATTGCACAACACCGTAAACTCGTACTCAAGGCTCAGACCGTACCCTCCAATTTAAACCCTCCATAATGATTTCCTACTCCACCGATAGAAGAGGCTCATGATAAAAATGGAGTTTTCCAAAAATTGGGGACATAAAAAATGAGTTGAGGAAAGAGGAGAACTTACTAATACAAGCGTATTACATTTGAGGGAGACAATCTCGAATAAAAGGACAAAATAGAAATCAATGAACAAATAAATACATTTTCGTCTGATTTTGAATCTTCCAATGGTCAGCTCCCATAAATGTACTTAAAGTGTTTGACTGGTGGATATGACAACTATAGCACACGTCACAATGACATATTTCCCTCTTCGTTCTCTTCTCCAATCAATGAAATGGTGGTTCGTTTATCTCTTTGTTTGCAGTCGGTGAAAGTGGTTTCCTTGTGGTTTCGAATGTCCACACAGAATTTGAACTCATGATCTTCCGCATATGTAGTTTCCCACTCGGGTATCTTGGACTTTTTGATTTGACTACGGGAGTACACTTCCTAAGGATTATGACATACTCGCTTCAAGGATTCGCATGAGTCTTTTTACAACGTTTCTTCGCCAAAGATGTCGCCAGGACAAATGAGTAGCTGCTTAAAAATGTTACCATTTCATACTGGCTACGTAGGATCACAGAGATAATTAAAGAAGGAGTAATATTTTACAAGAGTGTGTAACTTTCCCAGATTGGAAGGGGTAGTCAAACGATTAAGTGTTGAGATGAACGCTGACCAGGCGAAATATCCCCTGCCATCAAGCAAAGGCGCTGTCTGTTCGCCGCCATTGGCTCAAAAGTAACAGACGTCCTTACCGATGGCCTTAGCTTTCAAATCGTAACAAATTTCGTCTATTTTGGATCAGGATTAACACCAACAAAAGCACAGTACTGGCAGCTTTAAAAGGCAGTAATCCAGAAGCTTGAAAAACGATTGCAACCGATAAGTCGGAACTACGGGGAATGCCGCAGGCAATGATATGATGAGATGTAATCCAGATGCGAGTTAAGAGACAGCAGATCATGCCGACTTTGAGGGCAAATTTTCAATGCAACACTCGTGTGTGGATCAGAGGAAAAGGGGAACTTCTACTCTAGAGATTAGGTACTTTCAATGCTTTACTTCGTGCCTCCGAATAGCGGCGAACGGCGCAGAGAATGAACGACTGGCGCGTTGCTCTTGACTCGACTATAATCGCGTAAGCAGTGCCGACTTAAAATAAAAAAGAAGAAACAGACACTTGTTAAAGACCATTTCATCTACCTCTTGGTGAAACAATTATGTTGAAAAGCAATTCTATTTTTTCTTTCTTATCGACAAAATAAATATATTCTCGTACACCTACAAATGCACAGACAGACATCTCAATGACACAAGGCACTCGAAATCAGCCAACTTAAC